ACCAATTCGTTTTAATATCCTATTGAACCTCAAAGAAATTTTAGACATACTAATTTGGACGATTTTCACATTTGGTCCCATTGAAGATAGCCTCAAATGGGTTTGACAGAATGAAATATTAGTGTCTCGCAGTGTTGAAATTTACATTACAAATGAAACATACGCAATTAAAAGCAATAAGATATTTAAAAACTAATATTTAACGATTACGAAAAAAAGAAAAAATAAATAGTTTTAAAACAGTTTTTAACAGTAAATAGTAAAATGTCAGTATAAATAATAAAATTTAAAATGCATCTGATGCAATCTGGCTGCTGGTGGTTTGAGGATTCTGACTCTATTGCCAAATCTATCCGCTAACCTATCAAAGGGCAATTGCCAAAAAAATTTTCTAATAATTTATTACAACAAATATCAAACGAAACAAATATTACTACATTAATATTTTATATAAGGTATAAAATAGCAGAATTCATAAAATAATATGATAAAAATGTACCTTTTAAAAGCTTTATCTCTTTGTATTTGAAGCATATAACATATACATTATAAAAACATGACAACACTGCCAACGCAATATTTCCTTCTGTGAAACTTAATTGACAGCCAACTTGAGGCTATCTTCAATGGGACCAAATGTGAAAATCGTCCTACCAATTTTTATTTCACACCATTTTTGACAAGCCTTGGGTCCTTTAAGACCCATACCTATAACATTAAAAAGAAAAATGACGACTGATGCGAAATATGTGGGATGTAAGCAAAACTAAAAGAATAAAAGGAACTGAAAAAACAGGACAGAGACAAAAGCGACCTACTCGAAGTTACACTAGATAAGAGTCGGAGTGTGCCCTAAGAGATAGAGTATTTATTGGGTAAGGTCAGGTTTTATGTACCCACAAAGTACCACAGTTGTTATCTGAGAATGATTTTTCAAATTTCCAAAGAAGAATATTTCCATTCCATTACTGTATTAAAAAACAAATTTACAACATTAAAAAATCGATCTTCAGCCACTTGAGCCACCTCCGATGAGTTGTTTAGGATTAACACTCCGATACATGTTAGTCAGAACATAGTTTATGCTCAAAAGGCTATTTCTTACATAAATAAATAATATACATCTCTGTTTTTTTCAGTACCTTTCACGCACCCAAAAAAAATGTACTTATCTAAATATTTTACAAAATTATATGCTTTTGATTTTGAAATATAGATTTGTCCTAATAGACTACAGTTGTGTGTTCATTTAAAATATGTACTGGCATATATCAGCTGTGGATTAAAGTCACATTAGATGCATAATATAGCCAAAATAGAAGGCTAAGAAATTGGGAATTGAGTTAATAAAAGAATAAATGGGATTCAGAGCCTCAGCATCAGCTTTACACTCATATATTTAGTCCGCAGTTGCCAAATATGTCATCTCTAAAGATCTAGTAGACAAAATGATGTAAAATTCGTCTTTTTTGTAGCAAAATATAATCTTATGTACTCATTATCACGACAGTCCCAGCAGCTGCAATTTACATGTTGGACATGTTGATGTTGGCTGTAGAGAGAACAGACTGACATCGTCCCAATACTGAACCCAATGTGTAGATGCCTCACTGAATGTGGGAACACAGTTGACCCAACATTGGATCCTATGTGTAGAACCGACCTTAAATTTGTAAAGTTGGCTTGGCCATTTAGATATAATGCCACATAATCGAGCAGTGTATCTAAATCAGAAATAGAAGCAGCATTAACAGGTTGGATGCCGCTATTTTGTGACTTATTTTATGTGGTCCCAAATTAAAAAAAAAAAAGAAAAAACCGTATGCTTTTGCTAATAATTATAAATATTGATGTTTTATATGTAATTGCTATTTCAAATATTTAAGAAAAGTAAGCAACCGCAGGTTGTTGTAAATCTACATTTTCTTCCGCCACAGGTTGTTGTGAATTAGATATTACTTCTCCAATTTCATTCTCACCCTCCGAGTCCGTTTCTGTCCATCCGCGATCAAATTCCTCCTCCAATTCAAAATCACTAAACTGATCACTATTTTCCAACATTTCTAACAATTCTGCTTCAGTGTACTTATGATAACGACTCCCTTTAGGTCTGGAGGGACCAGCCTCAATATACTCATTTTGCATGATAATAAAACAATAAAAATATTTGAAAAACTTGAACCAGGTGTATTTATGAGTAATAAATACCCTTACTTAGTTCCTACTAAGAAAAATGCAACACAATTGCGGTGCCGACTAAGAAACGTAAATAAATATATAAATATGTACGGAACCCTTATAAGCGACGAAGGCACCTGAAGAAAATACACAGTTTATAAGCGACGAAGGCACCTGAGCAAAATACACAGTGACAGACGATTTTCACATTTGGTCCCATTGAAGATAGCCTCAAATTAGCTGCCAATTAAGTTTCACAGAACGAAATATTAACGAACTGAATAAATAAAAAATAAATAAAATAAAATAAAATATTGCGTTGGCAGTGTTGCCATGTTCTTATAATGTGTATGTTATATGCTTCAAATACAAAGAGATAAAGCTTTTAAAGGGTACATTTTTATCACATTATTTTACAGATTCTGCAATTTTATACCTTATATAAAATATTGATGAAGTAATATTTGTTTCGTTTGATATTAGTTGTAATAAATTATTAGAATTTTTTTTTGGCAATTGCCCTTTGATAGGTTAGCGGATAGATTTGGCAATAGTCAGAACCCTAAAACCACCAGCTGCCAGATTGCAATAGATGCCTTTTAAATTTTATTATTTATACTATTTACTGTTAATGACATTTTACTATTTACTGTTAAAAACTGTTTTAAAACTATTTACTTTTCTTTTTTTTCGTAATTGTTACATATTAGTTTTTAAATATCTTATTTCTTTTAATTGCCTATGTTTCATTTGTAATGTAAATTTCAACACTGCGAAACACCAATATTTCATTCTGTCAAACCCATTTGAAGCTAACTTCAATGGAACCAAATGTGAAAATCGTCCCACAGTGACTCTTATAAGGATCAAAGGCATCCAACCTGTTAAGGAAGTAGAACAAGAGGAAAAAGTACCGTAAATGATGGACGGTTGATGTAGAGCATGATTTTAAAGCTATGCACATCAGGCAGTAGAGAAGAAAAGTCACTGATAGGGCAGAATGTAAGAATATTGTTAAGAAGGCCAAATCTCATAAGCGGTTGTAAAGTCAGGAGAAGTAGAAGAATTATCAACAGATCTAGCAGCGAGTACATAGAATTGAGTTTACAGAAAACTAACCCACCAACAGATATTTAAATTACCACTCAAACCACAATGAAAACATTGCGGTAAACCACAATGTAAACATGCATTTCAGGAAAAAACACACCTGCCAAAAAAGATTACCCATTGTCATTTAGAAACAAGGAATTTAATATTTATATTAATATGGATTCCCTATACTACAATTTTTAATTGATTTCAACTTCCTTTAATAGAGTGAATACTACCCTTGCTAAAATCGATAAATATCTTAAATGTAATATATTGAGATTCCAGCTGGATGATTAATTAAGATTCAAAATAAATGACGGTTGTGTTTCGATTAAGATTCAATTATCAGTTAAGTTACATTTTAGAGAAGGACACTGAAAATGTTTCAAATTTGTCTATAGTAAAAAATTATATATTCAACAAAAATTACAATTCTCAATTACAAAAATTCAAAAATAGAGCATTGAGAATTAGAATCATTCCCAGAATTACCCTGATAAGTTTAGAGGTTTATAGTTTCGCAGATTTTTTTCTATTTGTGTATGGTTTTGTACCATGCTATGAATGCTATGTATCAACTATATGTACATAGATATGTATAAAGAAACCATAAAAAAGAATAATTACAAACAATGAATGGCCACTGTTTAACAAATCACAAAAACAATGTATTGTAATAGGTAATTTATTTTTGCAAGCTTTTATAAGTGCAACCAAAACAAGACAAGATAAAAGAAGGTGAAGAAGTATGAAATTAATTGATGTGTGTCATCTTGTCATCTGTGTCAATACTATTAACTATTACCAAAGAATATAGAGGCCTATTACTAACTAACCTATGTAATGCTAAAGATATTGATAAACAATTGCAAAGGTACCTTTATATGTTATATGCTTTAAAATGTTTTGTAAATATGACTCCTTAAGCAGTACACAGTCATCATTCATCATAAGTTGTTCTATTCAATACAAAAATCAGACAAAACAGATAGAAATTAGATAAAGGAAAGCTCCAACTATAGTTTTTTATATCAATTTGTTGTAATACTTATTCAAAACTATAAAGATATTGATAAAGATATTGATTTGATTTAATCAAATCCTAAATATTTAATCAAATTCACATCTGATATAGATACCCATAGATATAAACTAGCAGGTTGATTCTTTATGGGAATATAATTTTTTCCCTCAAAATTCATAATCTTTCTTTAAACACAACAAAGGAAGTTTGGCTATGATTGCACTTCTCACTGATTTATCAACTACAATCACAATCACTTTGCACTGAAGTTCAACAAACCATAAAAAGAAAGTAAAATTCAGCCTGCAATTACTCTGTGTCCCAATTTAATGTTGTTTGTGACGAATAAGCATATTTTAGGCATGACAACAATCTTGACATTAAAAACAACTAGCATTCTTTTTGCCTTATGTTATCAATACATTAGCTGGTTTTGTGGGAAAATAGTTTTGAAATATGAGGGAATTGCTTATCAATATTAAAGAAAGATAAACACTATCTACATTAAAAAAGGCTATCCATTGTTGAAGTAAATTTTAAGAAAATATTAAGAGCATTTATGCTCTGACCGGTAAATTCAAGATCCTAAGTATTCAGGATAACAAAAAATAGGTTGAATTCTAAAAATGTCCTAATTTTAAAATGCATTAACTTTATTAAAACTATGCTCATTTAAATATATTTGAAGTTATTTTATACTCACAAGTTCAAAATCAACGAATTACGAATATCGAACACCAACCATACACCAACACTTAAATCACTTTTAAATCAAAGATTAGAAAATTTCATTTCCCATCACAAATTAGAAAATGTCATTAATGTGACAAGTGGCAAATAAAAGGAGGGGATTTCAGAGACAGCATTGTCAATTGTCATAGTCAAAAATTGTTTTATTCCATAGAGCCAAAACAAAAATCCACTGCAGAACATACTGAATTTACAGTTTTAATAGAAATATCTAAAGGTTCAGTTCTTGTGTCGACTTAAAATAAATAAATTGACTTATGCGACAAGCCTTAAACAAATTGGACTGGCAGATGCACAAGGATGAGAGCCAAGAAATAAAGAAAGAAAAAGAAGAAACAAATCTCATTAATTTAGACTGTGTCTCTGTCTTCATCAAGTAACCATAGCAGCATCTCTTTGGTGAGGGAGAGAGAGTGAAAAGTTGATACGCGCTAGAGAGAGACAAATTGAACAATCGCAAGAGATCCTTGTAGTCAGTACGCGTGGTTGGTATACTCGGTCTATGTTAATAGGTTTGTTCCTACAGAAGTTTCAAACTGTCGCCGACTGTCAGACGCATGCGCAATAATAATTTCGCCGTTCCAACAAGATTTTCTCTGATACCTTGTCAACAAAGTACACTGTTCCATGAAATATAAAACCAGTTTGAAATTAGTTCCTGACAGTTTGAAAAGTTTCCGAACTTTTTGCAAACTGGTAATCACAGACATGCGCAATTAGTCGAATTTTGATTTACTCACACCTACACTGTTTATTTTTAATTTTAAATAGGTACCTTTGTTTTGGTAATTTTGTTGTTTTAAGTACATACATAATATTGTATTTTAGTGTTTTATACTTTTGATATTATAATTTATAAAACAATGAGTGACAGTGAATATTCGTCATTATCCTCTATGAGCGACTCCAGTGATGACTTGGAAGAAATTGTATTGGAAGATAGAATTCGCCCTAAAAATAGAAACTATTTTGAAACAACTGTTTCCCAATACAATGAAACAGAGTTTAAGGAGCATTTTCGAATAAGTCGGCATGTTACTGAGTCCATAGCTGAACAGTTTCAAAATAGTGACTACTATAAAATACATGCAGGACCATATGGTAAATTGTCAGCAATGCAACAAGTTTTAATTTTTTTATGGTATATAGGCCATCAAACGGCTAGTTTTAGAGATGTTGCAGACCGCTTCAACATTACAATAAGTTCTTTGTCTAGAGTGATACGAAAAGTGACTTACTTTTTGAGCTACTGCTCAAGTCATATAATAAAATGGCCAACCGATGAAGAAAAAGTTAAAATTGAGAATGTCTTTCGTACGAATGGTTTCTTAGGTGTAATTGGGATAATTGATGGTACACATATCAAGATTGACAAACCAAAGGATGATCCAGATTCTTACATAAATAGAAAAGGATTTTATTCGATTCAGGTAATTTTCTTTACTGTACAGTAATAAAATGTATTTATTCTATGTTATGTTTTAGTTACAATTGGTATGTGACCATGAATTACAAATCAGAGACATATTTATTGGTTACCCGGGCTCTGTACATGATAGTCGAGTATTCCGCAGTTCTCCATTGTCTCAGACACTACAAGAAAAATGTGGAAATTATTATATATTAGGAGACAGTGGATATCCTGTATTGCCCAATTTATTAACACCCTTTAGAGACCGGGGGCAGTTAAGTAGGGCCCAAATAAATTATAATTCAAAACTGTGTGCTAACCGGTACTTAGTAGAGCATTGCATAGGAGTCCTCAAACAAAAATTTAGGCAGTTATACCATCTTAAATTACGCTCTATAGCTGATTGTGTACATTTAATAAGAGCAAGTTGTGTTTTGCATAATATTTCATTAAATGATGAATTTTTATATGAAAACAATCCTGCAGGCAATAATGAAGCAGCACCTGATTTACAGTTGGACAATAATGATCCTGATGATGAACCTGATGACAGAAATGGTGCTGCAGTTCGAAATCAAATTTTAAATTTGTTAGAACAATAAAAATTTTAAAATACTTTATTTTTTAATTATTATGATTTTTACAGTTAAAGTAACAAAATATTTATTCAGAAAAACAATACTATACATATAAATTAATCTTATGGATTTTCCCTAAGTTTGTTTTGCTTTTCAAGTAGTTGGTTCTGCTTCTCAAGTAATTGGTTTTGCTTCTCAAGTAATAGATTTCGCCTTTTTATCTCTTCTAGTTTTTCTCTATGAACCACTAGCTTATCCCTTTCAATACTGAGCCTTTCCTTATAATATTCTGCTCTCTCTATTCTCATATTTTCCAATATTCTATTTCTATTTAGAATTGGATGCTTTGTATTGGTATTAGGTGCAGATGTAGCGGTGTGGGTAACTGGAACTGGGCTGTCAGTATTCTCTACTTCTTGAGTTTCAGTCTCCTTTAGAACTACATCTGAAGTCAACGACACATTTTCAATAACTTTTGTAGCAGATAGAAGTATCTCGGGATGAATATTTCGTTTTTTTTTGAATATACTGTCCATTTCATCTTTGAATTCAAAAAATTTTCGTCCTCTACCTGTTTTATTCTGATTATCTACGAACTTTTTGTATCCCCTTTCCAATACACGCCATTTATTTTCACAATGCGACGGGGACACATTTATATGTAAATTTTTATTTATTTCCTTGGCTATAATCTCCCATAATTTTTTTAAATTTCTTATTTGGAGAGTTCCAACCTTAGGTTTATATTTCTTATATAAATCTATTAATACTTTAGACTGATTGGTGGTCCAGACCACATAGTCTACAGTTTTAACACTACTATCTTCAACATGGTTTTCATGGTAAATAATAATTTCTTCCATATCTAAAACAAATTAGTATTTATTATAGGTAACTGCATGATAATAATAATTATAAAGATTTACCTTCCTCATTGTTTTCCATTTTAAAGAAGAAACAATTTACTTTGTTACAGCGAATAAAATAACACAAAATTTGTTTATTTAATATAGGCAACTTGCCAGCTCGATAGGATATTGTTCCAACAAAAATCACAAACTAGTTCGCGGCTGGTTAAATTCGCACATGCGTATTGTGCAGCAGTCAGAAACTGCCCTGAACTAGTTTCTGATTCTTTGTAGGAACAAACCTAATATATCTATGGTTTAAAGAGGAAAGCTGTGTGTGGTTGATTGAGACACAGAATACACAATCCCAACTATGGGAAGGTGTATTCTGTGATTGAGACCACAGAAGTGGTGTGTGATTGAGCAGAGTTGCCAGATGCGATTTTTTAAATCCCCCACTTGGAAACTGAAATTCCCCCAAATTGAAGGTCAAATCCCCCAAACTTAAAATTTTGTCGCATAATTACAATTTTTATAAATTTGAAAAGACTGTAGACTGGAACATACTGTACTATAATATTTTATACTATTTATGCTAAAACCATGATACTATGACTATAAGATAAAATATTGCGCATGTTTTTGTGACGTCATTGGAGAGTTGCACGTTCGAAATGTCAGTTTTTTGTATATATCAATAAATAATCTTTAATAAATAGTTTGGGGATATCCTTATGTGTACGAATATTGTAATTTTTAAACCTCTTAACTTATTTTCGTCTAGTAATTTCATCACAGAATGCATACAAATCCCAATTAAGTTTAACAAGAATTCAAATTCTACTCTCCAATGACGGCATGCGCGAACCCGACCGATTTTGAGCTACAGGAAGATCCTATCTTGTTATTCATAGTATCATGGCTAAAACGATGGATTAGAATAATTTTTCATACTAAAACAATGACAACAATCATGATATAAGGAAACAAGGTATGCTCACTAGTGGACTCATTTTTGCACATTTCTGCGCCGACCAAAATCCACCATCTTTTCAATATGTCACATGTGTGTAGGGATGGTGACCCGATCCCGTACCAGTTACTTTGGAACATGTATTTTTATTTATACTTGTGGAACTGATCCCTAACACCAATATAATATTATAAAAAACGAGTACGGGTCATCGCCGTATAAATAAAGATCTTTATATACGTCCATGGTACGGGTACTGTACTCATAGTAAGTGTAAGTGAGCATACCTGACCTGATCCACAAAAATACTTGGATCAACCCCTCTACATGCGTGACGTCTGCTTTGTTTACTTTTGCATTTTTTAACCTTACTTTGCAATGTACTGGAATTTAAATGTAAATGTGTTTTTGTTTTGTTTCGATTTTTTAAAAATTATTTTAAGAGTCTGTTCAGATCATTTTAAATATGAATTAATTGGATTAATGTATAATATTAATTTTATTTTATTTAATTTAACTACGATATTTCGTATCAATTTTGTACATATTTGAATTGCCGCCTTCAAAATGGCGGATTTTGGTCGTAAACGTGATTGGCTGTTCAAAATAGATGCGCGTGAGCATACCATGTTTCCTTATATCATGACAACAATGAACAACGATTTAAAAAACTGATGTCACTTATATCACAGCCACCTAAAGTTACTTTAAATGGCTGTGCTTATACTTAAAAATTAAAATTAAATTTAAAAAACATGATTATGAGTAGAAGAGTAGAAACATGAGTAGAATTGGAACGATGAGGCTGTGAATCCCATTTGTATTTCCAAATTTCTTAGCCTTTCGTTTTAGTTATATTCTGTATTTAACGTCACTTTAATCCACAGCCGATATATTATTATGGAAGTACATATTTCTAAAACTTACATACATGACCACACGACGGTGGTCTATTAAGACAAAATGATCTAGATATCAAAACTAAAGGCCTATATTTTTGTAAATATTTAGATAAGTACATTTTTTGGGTGCCTTAAAGGTATCTACCGAAAAAACCAGATATGAATAGAATAGCCTTTTCTTCCAGTTCTATGTACATTCGCAAATTTATGACCACTGACCACCTAAAATCCTCCACAATTTTTCCCCCAAAAAATACCCCATCCGTTTTAGCGCATAAAAAATTCCCCCAGACGCTTTGAAATTACCCCAAAAATGGGGGGAAATACCCCAATCTGGCAACTCTGTGATTGAGCCATACCACAGAATAATAAACATACAGAATACCCACTCTCCACGGAAAATTAAGTACGCGCATCTCCTCCGCGCAGACGTTCCGCCATGTTTTAGGAGGATTTTAAAGAAATTATGTGGTGTGCATGGAAAAATTAACCAGGTTTATTTGACTTACGGCAATCATAGACATACTATACAATTATATTAACATTGTTAAATATAATAACATAAATATAATATAATTAAACATAAATATAAACAATTACATAACCACACAAATCATATGTATGTGTCCTCCTAAAACATGGCGCGCGTGCTGAAAAACTTCAAAGGCGGCATCTGAGAGTGTCCCTTCTGATTGTTTATTATTCTGTGGCCATACGTATATTAAACACAATTGTCTGTGTCTCAGATGTGGCCTAATATCTGAGTTAAGCTGGATTTAAGCTGGATTTATAGTTTGACGGACTGTAGACGCAGACGCACTGGAAAAAGATCAACATAGACTTTTGTGTACTCCTATTTATAAATGAACGTAAACGCAAGACGGGACGTAAGCGAAACGCACTGTAACGGAAGAGTTGGTCAACTTTCAACTTTTACAGTGCGTTTCTTACGTCTGACCAATCAAAAGAAAGAATGGATTATGTTCATTGCACCAATATTGAAATATGCCAAAAATTGATCTGGATCTTCTGTCTTCATCTTTAAAAAATAATTATAAGCATTCTCTATTTTTCTATTACGGTTTATTGGTCTTGGTCGCCTTATTATTGTCCTTCTAGTTTTTTGCAATGCTACTGCACCCAGCACAGCAGCAATCCTACAGCGCCAAGGAGCATACCTTCGTATATTTCACAATCCATTCTAACACGCAAAAAGGATAAAAAAAAATATATAATAAACAATAGTATAAACACACACCCTTTGTTTATTATGAATTCTGATTCCTATAATTGTATAATTTATAGGTTATATTGAATGTTGTGGGTCACCAATTCTTGTCTTTACTCATGCGCAAAAATTCCACTACGTCCATTTATAAATTGAAAAAATATTTACAGTCCGTTTCTTACGTCTCCAGTGCGTCTACGTCTACAGTACGTCAAACTATAAATCCAGCTTTAGTGTCGTTGATGTACATAGTCCATCGAGTTAGAATTATGTACAAATTGATGTACATATTCCATCGACTATGACATATAAAAACGTCAAGTGTCAATTATAGCTGGTATTTGTGATCTGTGGTGTCAAGCATTAGCAAATGTCAATGTCACTCGGCTGTCAGTGTCAGTGGCAATGGCTACAGCAATAATGAATACAATTTTAAAGAAAACTGTGGAATTACTTCCATCAAAATTATTTTTGAAAAATGGAGCTGCCTTGATACACACCAGGTAATATTTTACTAATTAAGTAGTCATTTTTTGAACGTTGCTAGAGCATATTATGCTGTTATATAATTGTACAGGTTAGGTGTATTTTGTAGATTGGAAGTTTAGCTAATAATTGAATATAAACATGTTAAATTCTCATTTAAGTATATAATTTTTGTTTCAGCCAAAAAGTAAATGCTGGTAAATGGTATCCAGACGCAGAATGGATAAACCAATTTTCTGGCCCTGTGATGTATCCAGATGAGATAACCAAGAATTGGGCTCTTCAGCCCTGGAATGCTACTAAAGCACCAGTAGAGAAAGAAGTTAAAAACGTTACATTAAATTTTGGTCCTCAACATCCTGCTGCTCACGGTGTATTGCGTCTAGTGCTAGAATTAGATGGGGAGGTATGTAACTATTAGTGTTATCCACAAGACCTTTTTAAGATTATAGAGATATCTTAAACTAATAGATGGAATTGTCAGACATTTTATAAACATTCATGTTTTAAATAAAACAAGATTGTTTTCTAAGTTTTATATTCATTTTTGAAATAAAAAGTGTTTACAATACTGAGGTGTCTTAAAAATAAACCTTTTTATTTAAGATTATCTGGTAATGTGATATGAAGAGAAATCTTCCGGCTTAACCATTGCCTTGAATAATTAGATTCATTAACCAATTTTTATTCACTCTTATTTCCTCTAACCCTGTACCATTATATCCTTAAAATAAGGTATTTTTACTTTATTTCTATGTACCATTTATCCAATTAGTATATCCTGGTTTCTAAGTGTCTAAAACTGCTTATATTAAAAATTGTTCTGTATAAACAATTCATATAATCTTTTAAATTATGTACATGCGAAAAATGTTAGCAATCATTTTAAAGCATTTGAAGGTGTTATAACTTTTTAAATGTATTTTTTTATGACTTACAGACTGTCAAGAGGTCAGATCCCCACATTGGTCTTCTACATAGAGGTACAGAAAAGCTGATTGAATACAAAACCTACACTCAAGCCTTGCCATACTTTGACAGGTTGGACTATGTCTCTATGATGTGTAATGAACAATGCTACAGCTTAGCAATTGAAAAACTACTTAATATTGATGTACCTTTAAGAGCTAAATATATTAGAGGTAAGAACATGTTCTGGTTTATTGTTGTTTTTAATAAATATTCATTGTTGTATTGTTAGAGATAGTTACATGGTGTACAAAATAAAGGAAGTAGGTCAACCAGTCCACAGAAAATAAATGGAGAGAACTAATAAAAAATAAGTCTAAAGTCAAAGTCAAACAATAAAAGTTGTACACAATTTTCCCCTTGTTGCCATATTTTAAATTTGAACAAATAGATAGGGAATAATCAGATTTTCTTGACATATCACTCCTATTACACCGAGCATTTCATTGGCTAGAACTAGTGACGAGTTTATATGACGTCATTATTAGATGAAGTGAGAATCGTAAATTGTAACTGACGTCTGTCATAATATTGGAATCAAAAAAGAATAAGAAAATTTTTAGGTTAAGATTATAGAGGCGCAAAATTTCGGGCCAATGCTTTTTAAATGCATTAATTTTTTTCGAATCCTGAGAAAAGTAATAAGTATTTTTGAGAAATTTTAACGCAGAATGAAGGACTACATTATTACCGAGGGCCGAAATCCCCTGAAAACTTCTATAATGTTTATTTTAAAAAGTTACAGTGGTGAAAAAAAGAAAGATAAAATTTAGTGTGATTTTTAATTACAAATATCTCATTCAAAAGAAACTTTTTGTTGATTCTAAGGGACTTTCGCCAATCGTTAATAATCTTTCGTTCTGTGTTTAAATTTTGAAAAATATTTATTAGTTTTTTCAGAATTCGAAAAAAATGAATGCATTTAAAAAACATTATCCTGAAATTTTATGATACACTGATATTTCTATGAATCTAAAATAATCTTTTTATTGTGGAGCTTAAATATGTGAAAATATTATTTTCAAATTATATTTTAGACATTTATTTCTTAAGCAGTTTTTCTCCTAGTTTGTGGTGTGTTCATAAACAGTAATATTGAAACTATGGAAGCAAAATGAAATTTTGCATTATGACCTCTTCTCCCTTTTTTTGATTAAAATTACATAAACATATGTTTTACAACTATGCTTAGAAATGAAATTCACAGTTATGTTTTATATGTATATTTACAAAATATTACAAACAACATGATGACAATACAAATATATATTACAGTACATGTATTTTGCATTACATATATGGCATATACTCTACACATTGAACAAAATTTATTATAGAATATCTATGGCAAGTAGAATGTGAATAAAACCTTTTAGATTTTTTTACTTATCTGTTTTTTCAAGTAATGTTTCCACTAAATGTTTTAAGTTATTATATCATATTTATTTCCAAACTCCATACAGCGAGCCTAATACTTTTGATTCTTCTTTCATTCTGAAAGTAATATCTAGAAAAGAATATTCTTAAAGGTATTTTTTCATATATTTATTTACCCTGTCAGATAATTAACAAGATCTTCTGTTTTCCAAGATTTTGCATTTATTACTTATTGACCCAAGATTTGCCCCCGGCTTGGATTGTCTTTCTGCCACTTAAATCCAATTTTATGCAGTACTCTCCGTAAAGATGATTCACTACCTTCAAATAGATCTCTCTCTTGTAAAAACTGCATGAAGAGTTTTAACAGTTATATGTTGCTCTAAAAAAAAAATTTAATCTATAGTCTATAATATAATTGACAACAAAGTCTTACATATGTCAATAAAATATTAAAATATACTTACTTTTTTCATACATTTCATAAATTACATTTCGAATTAGAGGTGCATTATTGCAATTAGTTATCGGTTTTACAGGTCTCGGTCTTTTCTTAGGTGGAGAACATAAAGGTGTATTCTCTTTTGCGGATTGAGAAACTTTGCTGACAGTAGAAATACTCAACTTCAACGCTGATGCAACTCTCTAAAACAGTATTTTTAGTATACATAATTGTATTATCTGTTCTAAATAAAATACTTTCTAAATATATTTAAATAATAAGACCTACATACCTCTCTAATTGCTTCTAGTGGTAATAATGGACCACCGTTTTTCTTCTCCCTTTCAAAATATTCAATTAAATTTGCAATTAATTGCTTGCAATGACTGGTCAAATGCGACGGCATTTTTGTTTTAACACAATTAAGTTAAAATATCCAAAAAATTGAATCGAAATCAAATCGAGAAACTAAAGTAACAGAATTTGTTTTGTAGACAGTTTATAGGTTTATATTTTAACCAACTTCACAACTATAAACAAATCTTACATAACCTTCTATAGGACAACATGGGTTTGACACTTACAGTACATATAGTTATCTTTGTTTCACACTCTTGAATGACAAAGAGAAACAATGTAGCCGGTAGTTGCTGTGGTAAATACATATATGTTTTTTATTTGGCAACAGCGCTTTCCTGCAAAACTTAACGGTAGCGAAAAAACTTATATATGAGGAAAAATTTGTTGAATTTGTTTGCCGTCAAGTTTGTACCATTGAGTTATGACGTCATTAAATCTATGACGTGCACCGCTAATTGTTTGACTTTGAGTTTATATCAATACGCTTCAAGGAAATAGTTTTAAAACTTTTTTTTAGATTTTACTTAAAAAAATATTTAAAAAAAATTAGCTTTATATTCATTGGCTGACTTGCTTTTACTATTAGCTTTTAAATTGCTATTTGAAAACTTTGTGGTTGGTTGTGGGGTTGATAAAAAGTTACTAAATATAAGTATTAAGAACCAATTTTTGTTCTTTCAGTTCTATTTGCTGAGTTGACTAGGATTTTAAATCACATTATGGGCATCGGAACCCACGCTCTTGATGTAGGAGCCTTGACACCATTCTTCTGGCTCTTTGAAGAGCGTGAAAAGATTATGGAGTTTTATGAAAGAGTTTCTGGAGCTCGTATGCATGCAGCCTATGTTAGGCCAGGAGGAGTGTCTCTGGTAAGTAAAAGTTAGTGAATAATATGTTTATATTTATTTTATACGTACATATAAATATTTACTTATATAAGTTGGACTCAAAAAGCACTGCTGGTTTGTTTTAATGCATGTTCAATGACCATTTGTCAGTTAGACCATAATCTACTCACAGACCATCAGTGGATTTTATTTTATTTAACAAACTATCTAGGCTAGCTACACTTGTTGATGTGGCTATACCTAACAACAACATTAATCTGCTAAATACAAAAAAATCTCCAAGTACATACATATATCTTAATATAGAAACAAAGAGACACTGGAAAACCATGAGGGTCCAGATGATGTCTATAATTCTGTAGAATAGTATCAATACCATTCATTTATAATAAATGTACAAATTTTCTAGGATCTTCCTTTGGGTCTGATGGATGATATTTATGAATTTGCTTGCAAATACAATGAACGAATTGATGAAGTAGAAGATGTCCTCACCCATAACAGAATTTGGGTTCAAAGAACCAAAGATATCGGAGTGATTTCTGCTGAAGATGCATTGAACTATGGATTTAGGTAAGAAAGATTTACAATGTGTGTTCATAGAGTAACTTAACTAGATTACATTTTTGATTTCTGATAATCTACAATATATTAAGGGACTTTTTACAATTTTTAAGTAATAGCAAAAAAAAAACTATTATATTTATGGTCATAAACATTCTATGATTGTTAACAAGGTTTTTGAGGTATACAAATTTTTTTTTAACTTTTGGTGGTTTTTTACCACTACAGACAGGTTCTTCCAAAAATTGCATTTTAATTTGGGAGACACTTTTCTGCCTTCCTAAATTTCAACCAGATTCAATTCGTGACACTTAAAAATAATAAATGAACCTTTAAAAGTTTTAAAGTATTTTTTTTATATCTTTAAGGCCTTTGTAGGTATGTGATTTATAAAGAGTTTGAAAAAATACCTATTTTGGGGGTGAATTTATCCCTGTAATAAAAAGATGGGATGGTTTTTTTTTTATTTCTAATGATTTATTTAGTAGTTTTTTATATTAACTATCAAAAAAAATTTGGATTACTGAGGGTGCAGTAGATTTTGAGAAAAACGTCTCCCTTGAAAATTTGACTTTGAGAAAAATGCGTTAAAGTATTTTTACTTTATATACATTTTACAATACAATTTTATTGAATAAAATAGACATATTTATTTTTTTTACCTCTAATTGTAGAGGTAAAAAAATGATTCCTAATGAATATTGTGTACTCTCACTGATCCTGTGAAAGCTGTAAATGGTCAGTCAAAGCTTTTTTTTTCATAACTGCCCTCTTTTGATGTCTCGCTGCTCCTTCTATTGGCTTAAGCAATAAGAACTTGGTCAATATTTTCCGATCAACTCATTATGTTTTTTCCAATTTTTATTCCAATATTTATTTTTCTCTCCTATTTTGCCAATCAACTGAGTAATTTAGAATTGTTGTCTGCAGTAAACTGATTCTTCTTCAAGTGCCCTTATCGCTTCTAAATAGTTCGACTGATGTGACCGTAACCACTTCCGCAGATTTTGGAGCCACGAGTGTCTTCTCCTGCCTGGCCCTCGCCTACTGTTATTTTCCCTGGACAATCAATTACAGTAGATGGTACTTATCGTGTCTCAATATGTGGCGTAGATATTCAAGCTTTCTTTGTTTAATTGTGCTCAAGATTTCTTTCTCCTTTCCGATTCTTTGGATTATCTATATGTTGGTGACATGTTCAGTCCAGGATATATGGAGAATGCGTCGGTACACACACATTTCGAATGCTTCTAGTTTTCGTGAGCGTCTCTGTCAGTGTCCAGGCCTCCACACCTTTATAGTAAGATTGGAAAAATGTAGCATTTAACTAGACATAGTTTTAGGGGAAGAGACAGATCCTTGCTTATGGGGAGGTTTTTCATATTGTTAAATGGTGCTCTAGCTCGTTCTATTCTCGCCTTAATTTCTGTGGCCTGTTCCCATTTTGCATTTACGTTGGTGCCAAGGTACACATAAGATTCTACATGGTCAATTAATATGTTACTTATTTGTAATTGTCGAGCAGGTTGTTGCTTTTTGCTCATCAGCATCCACTTTGTTGAAGTTGAGGCTCAGGCCGTATTCCTCACTAACTGAATAAACTCTTTCCATTACCTGTTGTAATTCGTCTATGGTACTGGCAAGGATCACCGTGTCGTCAGTGATCTATCTATCTATCTTATATTGTTCGTTAACTCGTCGTTATTTTTATGCCCATATTTGCATTTTCCATACATTTGTTAAATATTTCCTCGGAATAAATATTGAATAGGAGTGGGGATAAGATACACCTCTGACGGACACCTCTTTTGATCAGCACACTTCCAGTCAGTTCGTTGCCAATTTTTGATCTTGCTGTTTGACCCGAGTATAGGTTTGCCCACAATTTGAATGTCCTTGTCGTCAATACCTATCTTTCACAGAATATTTATCAATTGTTCATGATTGACATTGTCAAATGCTTTTCTAAAATCCACAAAGCATAAATACACGTCCTATCAACGTCTCTACACCGTTGTATAAGCACCTGGAGAGCGAAATCTGCTTCTCTAGTTCCAAGTGCTTTCCGAAAACCAAACTGCGATCTATCAATATTTGACTCACATTTATCATATATTCTTCTATGAATGATCTTAGTGAACGCTTTAGTGACCTGACTGATCAAGCTTATAAGTCGGTAGTCATCACATATCTGGGCATTTGGTTTCTTCAGGATTGTAATAAATGTTGACTGCAGCCAGTTCTCCGGGATTTTACCGCTAATTACATTTGTTGTTAAAAACATACAACTAGATTATCAAGGAAATGTTTGTCTGATTTACATGGGATCTTTAATATTTCGCAGAGTACATTGTCTGGACTTATTATTTTTTAGTGCTGCAATGGCATCTTCTATCTCCAATTTAAGGATTGAAGGTCTGTTTCTCCTTCTCCATATAGGTGATCATCAGTCATCATGACAACCAGATCAAGGCATTTTTTCCGATTTTCAAAACAATAATTTTCAATAATTTTCAATAAATTTCAGTAATATGTAACATTTGTTTTATATTATTGAAATATGTTCATCACTGAATTGCCGAATTGAATAATTCTCCCTCGCTGTCTATAAACCCGAAAAACAATGTATCATATTTGTTAGTGTGCCAGTTTTAATTAAACTTTTAATTTTAGCGGTGTGATGTTGCGAGGTTCCGGTATCAAATGGGATTTGCGTAAGCAACAGCCATATGATGCGTATGATCAAGTTGAATTTGACGTTCCAATCGGTACGAACGGTGACTGCTATGATCGTTATTTGTGCCGTATAGAAGAAATGAGACAATCTTTGAGAATTATAGATCAATGTCTCAACAAAATGCCAGCCGGAGAAGTAAAAACCGATGACGCAAAGTTAACGCCACCTAGCAGAGCGGAAATGAAGGTAAGGTTTTGTATACGATCATTTAATCTGTTTAATATCGCTCAAATTGTTAAGAATGTTAAGAATTGTTGCCTTCTTTTTATACGTTAGCTGCCGATAGAGTATGTTATCTTTGTATATCACCTATCTCGTTTTAAATGGTTCATTATGCTCTATTTCCTCTTAGAGATTTTTTAAGTCTTTTTTTTGGATCGAAATAAAAATCAAAAAAACCGATATAGTAGTTTTGTGTGGCTCATCTGTCTGTTTGCCTCTGTGGGAATTAGTGTAGCTTCATCTGCAAGAGATACAGAAAAACTGATGACGGATATACAAAAACTGACACGGATATAGAAAAACTGATGACGTATATAGAAAAACTGTTGACGGATATAGAAAAACTGATGACGGATATAGAAAAACTGATGATGGATACAGAAAAACTGTTGGCGGATATAGAAAAACTGTTGACGAATATAGAAAACTGTTGACGGATATAGAAAACACTGACGGATATAGAAAAACTGTTGATGGATGTAGAATACTGTTGACGGATATAGAGAAACTGTTGACGGATAAAGAAAAACTGTTGACTGACAGAAATCCGTTGACGGATATAGAAAAACTGATGACGGACATAGAAAAATTATGCATGTAGTAAAAAATGATGCATGTCGTAAAAAATGATGATATATATAGAATAACTGTTGGCGGATATAGAAAAACTGTTGACGTATATAGAAAAAAACTATTGACGGATATAGAAAATTGTTGACGGATATAGAAAACTGTTGACGGATATAGAAAAACTGTTGACGGATAAAGAAAAACTGTTGACGGATAAAAAACTGTTGACGGATGTAGAAAAACTGTTGACAGATATAGAAAAACTGTTGACGGACATAGAAAAACTGCCAGATAAGGAATGTATATTATAACACAAATTCTGGAAAAATATAGTGTTTTGAAGAACGAATTATTTATCCTAGACGAGTTTCTGGTAGCAGTTTAAGAACAATATAGTTACAATATACCAAGGAATATCCTAACAGCAATTGAGATCTAAAATGCTCCAATTATATCCATAAAAGATGACAGCACTCGGTTTCTTTCAACTTAAAGGAGAAAAGATCTCTTTTAATCATAAACATCGTCCGTTTCGTCAATTAATTCATCTCTCGTCATCAACAATCTTCGTCACCTTTTTCTTGATAGCATGCCATCATATTTCACTAATACCTAGGATGTTGATAATTTCTTTTACAGTAATGTGAATTTTTCCAGCTTCAAACATAATCTTACATTCCAAGTTGCTATCCTTCTTATGAGTAGTTTAGAGATTCTTAACAAAATCTGACCATATATGGTGTGACGGGTTCCGAAAGTCGTAGTTTTAGGCTTTCTAATGATGCTGATTATTGTCCTGGAGTGTACAATTACCTTTGCTTCTTTCATTGCAATGCTACCGATTTAACCAATATGTGGTTTTCGTCAACGGTTTTCCCTCCATTCATTTTTTTTTCTAATTCAAAATACTCGATATTTAATACAGATTGTTGTGCTTGAGACTTTAATGATATACCAGTCACACTATAAAAATATTTCATATCACTCCGTTGATGTGGTTTTAGACATATTTAAATTTTTTCTTAATATGCCTATCCGTTACGAATGTTTGCGATCATCATGGCAATATTTATCTTATCTGCAGCAGTGAGGAAAAGCTGCACAGCTGTTGTATTGAACCAGATTCTGAGGTTCTTTAACCAACATGTGCTTCTTCTTCCTGGACTTCGTTTTCTAAATATTTTTCCTTATTCCTATTTAAATAAATAAATGTTGTTTTAGAGGTTAGAATATATTATTTCTCGTCATTATCTAATAAATAAATACTTACTTTATCTTTGAAATCATCTTTACTTATAACTATTTCGTTTTACGCAGACATCCATGGAAGCTCTAATCCATCACTTCAAGCTCTTCACCCAGGGATACCAAGTACCTCCTGGCGAGACATACACAGCCATAGAGGCTCCCAAAGGAGAATTCGGTGTGTACCTAGTGTCCGATGGAAGCTCAAAGCCATACAGGTGTAAGATTAAGGCTCCAGGATTTGCCCATTTGGCCGCCTTAGACAAAATAGGAAAGAACCATATGTTAGCCGATATTGTAGCGATAATTGGTACTCTTGACGTCGTATTCGGCGAAATCGATAGATAGGTTATTTTAAAATTAAATCAATTGTTTATTTAAGGTAAAGAAACATTTTTGTTAAGTGTAAATAAATAAAATGTTTAATTCTAACTAAATATGCGTCTTGATATCATTTATTACCCAAAACTTCCTTAGTCGTAGTCACAACTAGCTAATTAGTACTAGTTTAATACTAAAAAGCAATGGCGATACAAAATATAATTATTTTTTTATTGCGAGAATCAGCCTCTACTTTTTTTGAGGAAATTTACTATTTCATTCCACAAAAATATTCACTTTACTGGCGTTTTAGATCGTAAATCGTGAGATTATGTACGATAAGTTTTGTTTTGTAATAGAGGGAGCTCACATTGGACAGAGTAGCACATATCGCAGATCAATTGTAAAAACTTCATTATCTGATCCTTTGTCAGTAACGTTTTCTTGACGTGCTTCGTTTTTCAGCAGAATGTGAAAATTATACTTATCTTGCAAAATATTCTTTGTTTCAAAAGGTACACAAACATCGCACTTATCCTTTTTAGGCTGCTATAAAGATACATTTTGCTACTCTGTGACCCCAAATTAGATACCCCAAAAAGCATAGGCATTGCTACAAAGATACATTTTGCTGATCGAAAATTATGGAAAAGATGGCTCTTGATATGGGTTTTATATTATTTTCCCTAAGTAAACTTGATATAATTGTGCTTTTGATTGCCATACTGTTTTCAAGTATAACTTTGAACTATTTGTAATGCAGTAATGGGACTCAAGTTTGGGTAATTTGTCAAAAAGATTTGTTAAGTTTTTTATTGCTTTTCCGCTTTTTGGCTGCTTTTCAACTTGCTTATTATCTGTAACTGTTTCTCTTACTCACTTCTTTATGACAATTTCTTCAATACAGAGTGTATTTAAAAACATCTTTTTGCATACTCGTATTCAATTATGTTCAGAGTTTAAATAAAACTCGGTCGATGTTTGCCTTCTAGATATTTCCCGTTCTCCCTTTCGTCTTTCTGTAGGTTTTACAATTACTAATGTACCCACAAAAGTTTTTTTCTCGCCCCAAGTTTTTCACTAAAAGTTGTCGAATATTTCGCTGTGTTTAGCCTTGTCAGAAATAGGACCATATTTCAATTTTGTCTTTCGTCCCTACTTAACTTGCAATTGCAACGAGTTTTCATAGTTTTTGCCGCCTTTTCTATATTGTAATTCTATGAATCATTTTCTCTTTTTCTTCCCTGATACTTAAGCCTATTTGCTCTATTCTTGTAGTTCTCGTATTTGCTTCATTTGTTTTTGTCTGTTTTACTCCTTTTAAACCTTTACCGCTTCGTTGATTCTGTTGGATTTAGTGTACTGTTGTTGGGATCGTTTTCTTTACAACCTTCATTACTCATAAATTCTTCAAAACCACTACCTATCTCTTCCATAATTATGAAGTCCGGGTCTTTGGACAGTTAATTTTTTGCATGCACGAGATGCCTTCTGATCTTTCTGTGCCATTAGTGGCCGTGTTTGTAATATTAAAATCACCCAAATTCATTATGATGTATGGTTATTCCTCACAAACATTATTGATAAGCAATTTTTCGGGTTCTCTATCATATTTCTAGAGATCATCAATAATTGGACTGTTATTTGCCTGCATAATGTTGATTTGCACGGCAATACATTGTCGACGGTATTTTGTTTCATGTGTGTAGCAAGAGCAAGAGTAAACTTGTCTAAATCAGATTCTTTAACTTGAAAGGGTTCCTTTTTTTCAGTGTCGTCTAACTTTGACGCTAGGTACTCGTAGAAGTTTTATAATCCTGTCTGCTCTTTTAGCCATTTCTGCAACAAAAATAAAATGCGCAGTCTTATTTTACTTTTTACCTTAATATGAAAAAAAAAGAAACTACCTTTACACAGCATTTTTTATTTTACCAGATTTCAACGAAAATCATTCCATACTAAATACGGAAGCGTTCAAATATAAATAAATTTGAAAGATAACAATTACTGACTTTTAAAATAGGCAGGCATATTATTAAATGCTAAATATGTACAAATAAAAATTGAAATTATTTAATAACAATAAAAAGTAGTCATATTTATTGTGGAAATATTAGTATCTCCGTCTTGTGTCATCTTTTCAGTTTGGCGTATAGTGCGTATCTCCAGACATAAATTAATAGTGATTTATATTAGTCATTCTTAAACTTTTTCGATTATTGCATCAATAATAATACAAAATAGACTTACCTTTCTTATGTTATATGCAACAACACGCCGAGTTTAAGGGGTGTGGATGATACGCACAGGAAGGTGTGGATGACATATGCAGTGAACAAATAAAGATGTAGGCTAAGGAGCAAAAAACTGGATCTTGTAATTTTATAACACGTGCTGCAAAACCTGCGAAATTCGAAAATTATGGAGGAAATCTAAAGTAATGGCCTTGTTAAAAAAAAAGGAAAGGACCCAAAAAACCCCAGTAGCTGCAGACCTATTTTTTCAAACTATACGAGAGACTCATATTCGCCAGAATAGAAAAAAATTTCGACAAGCACCTCATCCCGCAACAAGGAGGATTCAGATCCGGCAAATCTTGCACGGGTCAAGTCTTCACACTAACAGAACACATTGAAGAGGGCTTTGAAGAAAAACTTATAAAAGTTGCTGTTTTAGTAGATTTGACAGCATCCTATGACACATTAAGGCACAAAACATTGCTCCGCAAATTATACGACACTCTTAATGACCACCATTTGGGCAAGGTCGTATATTCCTTACTGCAAAGGAAGATCCATTACATCCGATGCAAAGCTTTAATTAAACGGAGTTCAAGTTGAGAAAGTACACAAAATGACATATTTGGGAACTGTGATAACGGACCAACTAGATCCAGACATAGAAATAAAACGTAGAATAGCAATGACTAAAACGACTTTTATGAAAATGAAGTCATTTCTTTTTAATAATCATCTCAGTTTAGAACTAAGACAAAGAATGGTAAAGTGCTATGTTTGGTCCGTACTTTTGTATAGTGCGGACGCTAAAAGTATCGATCATGAACAAAATTGAAGCAATGGAAATGTGGGTTCATAGACGAATGCTAAAGATACCTTGGAGAGCAAGGAAAACTAATGAAGAAGTACTAAGGAGCGGCAATAAAGATAGAGAACTGCTAAAGACTGTTAAACATTGAAAAATGTATTATCTGAGACATATAGTAAGGGGAAGTCGATATAAAATATTACAACTGATCCTTAAAGGCAAAATAGAGGGCCGTAGAGGTGTAGGAAGAAAACAAGTTTCTTGTTTAAAAAACATTCGTGAATGGACTCAGATATAAAATGCAGGACAATTGTTCCATATTGCAGAAGATCGAGAAGCCTTCGCAATGGTGATCGCCAATGTCTGATAATTCTGATATGGCACGCGAAGAAGAACTCTGGACCGGTCGCTCACCTACGGACAACATTGCATAAAAACGAGAGGGAAAGTAATAACTAGGACCAGCATACTCAGAAGCTAACAAGAAATAAATGGGGCGCACGTCCTGGCGTTTTAAGAACAACGGCACAGTCACTGTATTTTTCAACTGATGAATATGCGTGCCTCATTTGGGTTAGATCTGCCCACACCAGACAAGTTGATACTGCGCTAAATGAGACATGCAGGATAGTAACGGGGTGCATGAAACCAACGCTCTCAAATCTACATAAAGCAGCGGGTTTTGCAGAATCCTCAACACGCAGAGGCGTTGCAGAGCACATAGAGAAAATTAAGCAGATTGCGGACGAGCGGCAATGCCTATACAAAGCTCTTCTTACATGCAGAAACTGCCCTCATCGATGTATTCTCGAAGATTTGTGGCCCGACAACAAAGATGGACCCGACGTAGCCCTTTATTGCGGAACGGTAAATGCTGCGGAGATGGGTATTTTTCAGGCTGAAGATATGGTATCGTTGTACCGGATGGCGCAGTCATATTTGAAAAAAAATTGAGTTACGTACTATGCGAATTAGACTAACGATATCTAGAGTTGTTGTTAATTCCAGCTTATCATCTCCTGCTCCATTTCTAATTCCAAAGCCTCGTCCTCGATGTTTATATATTATCTACTGAAAGACTGCTGTACATTTTTTGAACCTACAACTGCATAGCGATATTTCTCGGTATTAAGTCGACCAATAAGTAGGCGTGATGGAATATATGAATGGATATAAGGTCCTACAGATTTTTTAGTCGAGGCTCCTACAAGAGGGCTTTTTATGTATTACATAACAGAGGCAGCTTTATCTGAATTTTAGTTGAAATTTCATTTTACATTTGATCACATTTTCTATAAGTCTTATCGAAAAACAAAGATGAAACAATATTGTGAATGCTAATTGAAGCTTGCTACATAATTTTTATGTTTTGAAGATATAGAATTGAGGAAAATAAAAATCACAAGAATAATAAATAAAATATATTACATAAATCTAAACAGTTCTTTTTTCTAACCTATTAATACCATTGTCATTAGTGTCTTCATCTTTATCTTCCTTATCTCTACTATTGTCATGTGCAGTTTTAAGGAACCAAGTGTTATTTGTTCTTACGGCAACTTCATCTGGTTGTTCACAAAAATTCTGCCACTTGTGTATCTCTTGGAAGAGTCTCTCACCCGGACATTCGGTACCAGCTCTAACCTGTCTATGGCCAACCAATTTGTAGTCCTTCTGGATGTATCCTTCTCTTACTCCTTTTTGTATCAGTTCATGAACTGTCGTTAGCTGATATTCTGGTGGAAGTTCAACTGAAACATAAAAAATTAATATTAGTTGAAGAGCTTTAAAATATTATATATGGAAGTAGCGTTATTTGCTTGAGAAGAGTGTTGAATTTGAGATAGAAAAAGTAAATTAAATAATTTAATATAACAAACAAATAATGAAAGGTAAATAAAAAAAACACAAATAAGTCATTAAGTTCCATTTTCAAATTAATTCCAGTATAAGGCTGAACTATAATATTTGATAATACATTTGCTATATACCTAATGTTAGCATAAAAATAGATTTTACCTGTCCAATCTCCAATGATACATATTCCAATACTTTTGCTATTGTAAAAGGGAGCATGAGCACCAACTCTGGACCATCCTCTCCCTTCGTAAGCTCTACCATCACCGCCAACAGCAAAATTGTAACCAATGTCCGCCCAACCGTTGGTTTGTTGGTGAAGGTCTTGCATCCAATGCATAGCTTTGATACAATCGGTTAAATTGTGACAAGCTGGTGGTAAATAGCTGTGATGGATAACTACGTAAGGCACTGGGTTCGCCATATTTTCTATGGATTTAGGAGCGCGGGCTTGCCATTCTTCTCTGGAGACTATAACTGGGTCTGAAGATGCTGATGTAACTAAAAATAACAATTACAATTTATTCGAAGCCACACAAAGATCATAGTTAGAATTGATACAAATCAAATTGCCGTTTTGTTATATTGGCACAATTATAGAAGGCCAATAGTTTGTTTTATACAATTGCTTAAAATAATCTAATTTTATAAACCTTGTGATAAAATTAACAGACACAGACATCGTTTGATGATAAAATTCTTCATAGTGGAAGGATTAACAGCATTTTATTAGAAGTTGGTAAAATAAACCCTTTCTGGTAAAGGAAAGAGAAAATTAACAATCACCCGAGATGATCGATGATTAAAATGTTTGTGAATATATTTTTAAGAATATGTTTAAATGAAAACCGCAAAATAAGATACTTGAAAGACAAAAATGCGGTTAGGAAACCTACAAGAAAAATCGAACAAGTTGGCTAAACTACAAAATAATAGTAAGCGAAACTATCAGTGCAATAACAACAATAAACACAAAATAAAACTAAAGGAATGTGTTCTAAACCTAGAAAAAACGATACAATATGCCATCGAGGCTATCACCAGCCTCGAAGTTGGTGAAGAAGAAGAAACATTAACAGTTAGGAAAAGATTCAGCGAAATCCGCAACGAGCTGAAAGAACTGATAAAGGAAAAAATAGGAAATTAAGAAAGGCCAATAGAACACGAAAATAAGAGGACAAAAGAATTGCTAATGAATAGGGAAGTCACAAAACAATTAGAAGAACATCGAAACGAAAATTGGGACTACTATATTCAGCAACTAAACCCAAATAAATCTGCGTTCTTGAAGCTATCTAAAATACTAACAAGAGAAAAAAAAACAATTCCACCCTTACATGGAGAAAATGGAATTGTGTACGTAGAAGAAGACAAAGCGGAAGTGAAAAATATGTTAGAAAGAGGATGTAGGAAAAATTCTCATTCGAATAGATTACATTAGATTAATGATCGAAAAACCAGGGAAAAATGTCACCTTTCCACAAAATTATCGATTACCAGCAATAAGCAAAATTGCAGAGCGAGTCATATTAGCTAGGTTAAAACAAGAACCAGAAGAAATCAAAACAATACCTGAGGCACAGTTCGGATTCGGATCCGAACATATGTGAACTTCAGGTACTGCGTCTAGCAGAACATATCACACAAAAGGGTTCAATGAAAAGAAATATACAGCAGCGGCCTTTCTAGATGTCAGTAAAGCATTCGACAGAATCTGACACGAAGGCCAGCTGTATAAAGTAAACCAATATGGTTATAGTGAGGCGATCTCGTCATACCTAGCCGACAGAAGGTTCAGAGTTTGGACAGGATCAACCCTATTCGAAGCTGAAGCCATGGATGTTGGTATGCCACAGGAAGCGGTGTTGTCGCCGTATCTATACATCATATACACAGCAGACACCCCTACCGAACCCAGATCGTTGCTAAGTCTATACGCAGACGATACAACGATAGCTGTTAGCAGTACCAACCCAGATCTAGCAACAAGACACATACAAAGGGCACTTTACGAACTATACAAGAACATTTTACATGATTGGTGTATACGGTGAAAGATAGCTGTAAATCCTGACAAAACACACGCCGTCATGTACCAAAAAAGAAGAGGCGGACCAAATGGGGTTCTATTTCTATTCGATACGCAAATCGAATGGTCAAATCAAGCCAAATATCTAGACGTAACGTTGGACAAAAAGCTGACCTTCACAGAACACGTGAAACAAACGGTACAGAAAGCTAAAATAATTAGAAGTCAACTCTCATCATTAATAGGTCGAAAGAGTAAACTGAGATTTAAAACAAACATTGGGATGGCAAACTGTATAATTTTACCGACACTAAGATACACCTCGGACGCATGAGGACACACTTGCAAATCGAACAGAAACGAAATACAAATAGTCCAGAACCATATGCTCAGAGAGGCTCTGAATATTCCTAAGTACGTTTTATTAAGGTACGTATTTAGGGACTCAGAACAAAAGAGAATCCTGAGAACAATGGAAAACAAAGCACAGGTGATTTTCAACGATCTCAGGAACCATCCTAGTAGACTATTAAGAGAGTTGACAGACTATGACGAAAACCAAAGGACAGTACATGGGCGGCCCAGACAGCAGCTAGCTGGATATAGAAAAGATCCAGAAGAACAGTGAAGAAATGATAGCCATGCAGTAGTCGAAAAAACGCAGTAACAGAAGACCCAAAAATACCCTATCCCTAAATTTTTATTTTTTTTTATTAGTTATTTTTATTTTTAATACTTATAACCTTTAGTTACAGCAGCAATTATAAAACAATAGAGTGAATGATGATCAGCAGCACAGGCAGAAAAGCTGTTCAGCTAAAATGCTCTTCAGGTAGGTCAAAACGATCAAGTTCGCGTAACTTAAGCATCGAGGTTACGTACCGGCAATCTTGGGCTTGTTGGTCAGACCTATCGAGCGCTCTGCCGACGAGGAGAACAAAAATTATTTTGCCAACTCGGCGGCTTAGTGACCGAGTACACACAATCCGGACGGGAAGTCACCGACTTATGTCGGTGACTCGCTGCCCGGAACACACATTTTGGGACACAAGTCCAAAGTCATGTAAAAACTAACTTCAGTAACTTATAGGGAGAAAACTCTTCTAGCTAACCCTAAAATCAGGTGCCTTAACCACATAAAGTAAAGCAGCGGATGCCCCATCAGCCAGGGCATTCAAAGTAACTTTCAGTACAAAGCCTCCTTTGTGAGCCAAAGCCCAACAAATGTTAACATTAAGGCTATTTTATCTAATCATGAATGAAGACAGACTTCAAAGACTATAGTTCATAAGTACATATGGATTACACTGCCAAGCTATGGAGACGTTGAAAAATAAGTAAAAGATTAAGTACAAAGAGCAAATAGATTAGCAGGATGTATAACATATGTCGAGACCAAGAAAAAGGGAAAAGGAAATGAAGAGATACGAGAATATATACATATCTACAGTGGAGTGAGTAAAGCTAACAGAGCTAAGAGAGAAGTCTATTTTGCCATTCAAAAAAATCTTAAAAATAATATTAAATTGTGGACTGAAGTAAATGAACAACTGGAAATGAAAAAGAATGGGCACGTCATTGTCGGAGTGTATGCCCCAAAGGAAGATGCAGATCCAGAAAGTAAAGACGATTTCTACAACAAGATGAATGAAATAATCTCTCAAGTTAAAGAAAATGTGAAATTTTTATACTAGGAGATTTAAACGACAGAGTAGGGAGAGAAGAAAATAACAGAGTCTGAGAGAGATATGGGAAACAAATAATCAATGACAACGGAATGCGTCTTAGAGATTTTTTTATAACAATGTCTCTCAAAATTATGAGCGGATTTTTTCACCATAGAGACCACAATTAACAAATTTACATAGATACAACCTACTAGGAATCGGCGCTGTGTATACTGTCTAACAAAACGTCAAACTTCTCAGCTGAAAACAACTGACGTAAGGGTATAATATGGATCAGAATGTGGATCCGACCATCGTTTATTTATGGAAAACGTGATAGTTAACTATCGCAAAAACAATAACACTCTGGTACAGAATATAGAAAAGGGACAAGAAGTAACATCCCCTAAATATAACCTAGAAAGCTTAAAAAAAGAGAAAATATATCAGCGGAAGAATTATACCAGCAACTTAGAAAATGCATTCATTAGCCTGCAAGTGAAGCTTTGAGATATAAAGACAAACATGGAACAAAAAATCAAGAATGGTGGTGGGAGAATATGCAAACTTTAGTAAACAAGAAGAAAACTGCTTCTCAGAAATGGATGTCAACAAGAAAGGAGGAAGATTACAAGATATATAAAAATTATATCGAGATGTAAAAAGAGAAGTAGTGAAAAGTAAAAATGAGATGTAGGATCGAAGATGTGCAGAGATGGATAGGTATATGGGTGGAACAAGAGTTGGGCAAGCATGGAAGATAATAAAGTCTCTTCGTGGAAATACCATCATGAGGTCTTAGTGACAGAGGATAGATGTAAATTCCAAGAGATAAAAATGGAAGAAATATCCGAACATACACAAATAATTGAGATAACAACCGGAGAGTTAAGCCATGCCCTTAAAAGATTAAACAACGGTAAAGCAGGACCTGGAAACATCCCAATTCAGTTGGTAAAGTATGGACCAAAAATATTACAAGAGATGTTGGTTTAACTGTTTAACAAATGCTTAAAAGGACAAAATATCACTGATGATTGGAATGTTGGGTACAACAGCTCAATATTCAAGAAAGGGGATAAACGCAAATGCTCTAATTATAGGGGAATAACTGTTATCAGCTCAGTGGGGAGGTTATACGGTGGAATAATAAAATAAAGGATAGAATCAGAATACAAAGACATACAAGAACAAAATGGATTTCGTGCAGGAAGATCGTGCACTGATGGTATATTCGTTTTGCAGTACATAATCGAAAAACGAAAGGCAAGGAATCTATCTACCCACCTATTGTTTGTAGATTTAGAGAAGGCAAACGATACGGTACCTTTGAAAAAACTGTTTCAAACATTGACGAAAGTAGGTCTCAGTAGAGAGTATGTGGATGCTATCGCAAATACATACAAAAATGCAAGAAGTGTCGTTAAAGAAGGAAACTTTATATCTGAATCATTTCCAATAATAAAGGGGCTTAAACAAGGATGTTGTCTATCTCCGACCATATTTAAAATATATATTCAATCATCGCTAGCGCAGTGGAGGAAATAAGTATTCGGAATGGGAATAGACATAGGCGGTGGTAAATGTCTAACAACTTTATTTCTCGCAGATGATCATGTAGTCGTAGCGTATGATGAAGACATGGACTACATGTTTAGAAAATTAAAGAAAGAATATGAAAAATGGGACCTCAAATGAAAATGTCAAAGACAGAGTATCTTAAAATAGGAGATGATGAAGAAGATCTAGAGTTAGAAATTAGAAACATAAAAACATGCAATGAATATAAATATCTCGGATCTATA